CCCCAAAACCCCAAAACCCCAAAACCCCAAAACCCCGCAATCAAATTTTGAGTTAAGTATTTCTTTATTTTATAATTAAGCTGAAATAAAATATAAAATGAGTACAAGTTTGATAGTATCTCCTCAATAGTCACCAAATAAATCAAAGTCGCAGGAAAACTCTAAGTCCCCTAAGAGAGAACATTCAAGTTCTACTAAGGAATATTTGCTAAAGCCAGTTGGTAAGATTATACTTAAGATTTAATTAAAATTTATTTATAAGGTCCAGGCAATTACGAGTTACCTAAATTGACTGGAGCTAAATAAGTTTAGTCAACAAGGCATAATTAGCCTTCATTCTCTCTAGGTTATCGAACAGATCCTAATCAAAAATAAGTCATATCTAGCTAGCATAAGGTAGATTAGCTAGGAAAAGATTCACCCGGAGTTGGAGCTTATAACTATGATTATTCAAATTTAACCAACAAGATTTTGGCTTAAGGAAGTGTGGTATAAAACTTCAGTTTCAGCTAGCAAAGAAAATTCTTCGATTTTACATAAAATATCAGACTCAAATAAGAATTGTAAGACTTAAAATGTTTGATTTCAATTTAACCTAGGCCTCATTATTATGATGTAAATGTGAAAACTAAATGGGTTAGCAAAGTAGGCGGATTTCCCAAGGATTAAAGATTCAAATATGAGCTAGCTGAAAAATTATTAGCTGATAGATCCCCAGGTCCTACAACTGCTACACCAAGATCTAATTTGCCCTCAATAAAAGATGCAATGAAAACTCCTACCAATCTGAATAAGTCTACAGTAGAAGACTAAAGTTATAGAAGTAGATTTGAAGAAAGCAGAAAAATTTTCTTTAGAGAATTAGAGCGCGATGTGTAGGGAAAGGATTCACCAGGATTTGTTTATGATGCTTATAAAACTTTTACCAATAATCAAAGAAAGAACTCCTATACCTTTGGCAGGGTAAATCTCTTTTGCTTAATATTTATAGTAAGAGAGAAAAATCAATGATACTACAAAATCAGAAGTGTTACCAGCACCTGGCTCTTACTAATAAGTCAACCTTCAGGCAATAAAGCTTAAACCAAAAGGAGGAGGTTTTTCAAAGGCTACAAGGAATGTAGATCTGGTTAATTATTCAGAGAAATATGGAGTTTATGGAGGTCAAGTCCTAATTTAATGAACTTACAATCTACTTATTAGTAATAATATAATGATTAAGAGTAAAACAGAGATTCATTATGATAAAGCATTATCTTTAGAAAATTCATAATCAAGCATACCTTATGGGGTTTTGGGGTTTTGGGGTTTTGGGG